CAGCTATTTATGCAGAAATTCCACACTTAGCCCATAGACCCTCTATAGAACTTCCGAATCCCAATGCATCCAAATGGGTCCGAATCCCAATTTCCGTTTCACAATTTCGGATCCCGTACAAATTTTGCTCAAAAACTAAACTGAATTGGACATGTGACTTTTCTGGCCAATCAGATGTGTTTTTCGGTTTTGAATCCGAATTTACGTTACGGTAACATGGGAGCCATATACAGTGTATACATATAATACTAAAGCATTCCGGATCCGAATTTCTGAATTGCATTGGGGCGCTCCCGAATGCCATTCAGGTATGGAAGCCTTATACATATATTATTAAAGCTGAGGCTCTCAGACCGGAATGGCATTCGAGAGCTCCTACATGCAATTCAGAAATTTGGGAGCTCCTGAATACCATTCGGGTCTGGGAGCCTCAGCTTTAGTAATATATGTATATGGCTCCCAGACCCGAATAACATTCGGGATCCGAATTTCCGAATTGCATATGGGAGCTCCTTGCTCCCATATGCAATTCGGGTCTAGGAGAATGCTATTCGGGTCTAGGAGATTCAGCTTTAGTATTAATATCTGTATATGGTTTTCTGTGGTATTCGCAACAAATATTCGTAAACTTATCCTTAACCTTAACTAATGAAAACTCGGATTTCTTCCGAATCCGAAACCCGAACCGAAATTAATTTCGGACCCGGATCCCAAAATAAGGAAATATCCTAACCAAATTTTTCTGCGGCTTACATGTCTACTGGCAGGTAACAGAGTTCCTATATATGTTTTCAGCTGTTTTCCTGGAGTTCAGCTTTAAAGTCCCGTTCACACTAAGCGATGCGGGAACGCACATTTGAATCCCGAATAACGAAATATCCGTACCGAGCCGATGTTTCCCGGAGCTTACATGTCTATTACATTGTTCGGATGTGTCTCCTTCATCTCCTGATAAATCTGTGAGAATACATTTCTGACATGTTACAATAGTTACTTTGTTTCATCCTGCACTTGTTCTTTCTTTTCTCTGTGCGGAGAATCTGAAGTCAAGCGGTCTCAGAGCTCGTTAGGAATAGCGGTAAAAACGTTTAGAAAGCAGCGCTAATGTCATAATGAACCAGCGACGGCTATAATACCTAGCGATGGAATACAATATCCTGTCACAATCTTCGCAGGGAAGACGCAGAGCTCGAATATGATATATATTGTCACGGCGGACGGCCACGAGGACCGAATAATAACTCTCAGACGGATTTCTCAGACCGGCGACGTGTCACTTTGCTGCATCTGCAGTGTGATCAGACATTTGTTAGCCTGAGTTATTTTCAGCTGTTGTATTTAATGATGTGGAGATGATGAGCTATCAGATGTGCGTCGTCTCTGATATTGAGGTTATCGTTCTGCGGAGAATGTTTCCTTGTTCCTAATTACACTGCAGGATTACACTGACTGATGATAATAATGCATACAGACAATATTACTGTGTGTTATGGAGCCGCACCGCTCTAACCGGAGGCTCACGGCCCGATCGGTCAGAACGGCTCTGGAGGCGGGATTAGAATTGATAATGTGAAGATATATATTCCTAAGTGATACCGTGATGCTGTACTCTGATCTGATCGGGAAGTAGGGCGGCTCTTAAAGAACAACTAGACTTTCAGTAAAGCTGATCTTTAAATCTCCTCCACCCCCACCCCAGCAACTTATCTTAAAGTGACACTAAACTCCGGAGGTCAACCTTAGATCATATCAAACCTTACAAATACATTCAAGTACCGTAACTATTAACAACAATGAGGGGATTTATCAAAACTGGAGCGAAAGCTGATTGGCTGCCATGGGCAACTGCTCCAAAATCTGTCTGCTCCAGTTTTGATAAATTCCCCCCAATGTATCTTATTTGTGTATCACTCGGCTGTAGATCCTCCAATCATCTCTGAATTGGTGCTGACACTGTCCTTCCTTCTGGAGGGGGGCTACGTCTGTTCCCCATGGTCTCTGTGTGTGTTGTAAAGTAGTCACCGCTCCAAGCTCACTCCCGGGATGGACTACAATCTCATGTTTAGTTTACTAATTTGTACTGAGATTGTAGTCCATCCCGGGAGGGAGTTTGGAGCGGTGACTACTTTACAACACACACAGGGACCATGGGGAACAGACGTAGCCCCCCTCCAGAAGGGAGGACAGTGTCAGCACCAATTCAGAGATGATTGGAGGACCTACAGCTGAGTGATACACAAATAAGATACATTTCTGTTGATAGTTAAAGGAGAACTATGAGGCGAGTGAAAATCACTCAGCCTCATAGTTCTATCCGACCTGTGACAATGAAACTGTCACAGGTCGGCTCAATAGATCGGGAAGTGAGCGAACACATAGCGTCGCTCGCTCACTTCTCGATCCTGTCACTGCAGAGAGCCGTGACTGTCACTCACAAATAAGAGACATTTTATAGGGTGGTTACTTTTGTTCCCCATGGTCCCTGTGTGTGTTGTAAAGTAGCCACCGGTCCAAGCTCGCTCCCGGGATGGACTAAAAATCTCAATACAATTTAATAAACTTTCCTGTTCCACCATGACTGTCCCCTGTGTACAAATCCAGCTCCATAAGGGTTTTTTTCACGCCAAATGCAGACCAAATCTGCATGAGTTTCTGCACATGCAGTGCAGTGTGTTTTGCTGCATTTTTGCCACGTTCCGGGCCGTTGTTGTTTTGTTTTTTTTAGCCTAAAATGGGCTTTCAGTGCGTTCCAGGGTGTTTGCATGCATTCCAGAGCAGGAAAAATAGGGCTTGCTGCAGTTTTTTTACATGCTCTGGATCTGAACGCTGCGGTGGGAACTAGAGCCTCAAATACCATTGGAATACATTGCACGCAGTTTTGATCCGTTCTGTAATTGCTCGGCATCTGCTCCGCGCTTGGTGTGAACTAGCCCAAAGACATGGTTTGACCAGTCTGGTGTGGAGGAACTCGAGTGTCCTGAACAGAGTCCTGACCTCAACCCTACTAGACACCTTTGGGATGAACAGAAATGCTGATTGTGAGCCAGGTCTTCTCATCCAACATCAGTACCTGACCTCACAAAAGGACACTAATTCCCACAGACAACCTCCAAAATGTTGTGGAAGCCTTATCAGAAGAGTGAAGGACGTTATAACCGCTCAGGAGGACAACTCCATATTAATTGCCATGGGGGGAGCAACTTCATATTAATGGCCATCTTTTGGAATGGGATGGCCAAGAAGCCTTTATAGGTGATGGTTAGGTGTCCACAATCCATTGACTATATAGCGTAGCTAACCAAATAAACAAGGATTAAGGATACATTTATCCTTGACTCGGACCTCACCTTTCTTCCCCACATCCAATCACTATCCAAATCCTGCCGCCTTCACCTTCGTAACATCTCCAAAATGCGCCCCTTCCTCACCAAAGAAACTGCAAAAATACTCATCCACTCCCTTGTTATATCTCGTCTCGACTACTGTAACTCCCTCCTCATTGGCCTACCTCTACACAGGCTCCTCCCCTCTTCAGTCTATCATAAATGCTGCTGCTAGGCTCATCCACCTAACCAACCGCTCAGTGTCTGCAATCCCCCTCTGCCAATCCCTGCACTGGTTTCCATCCCCCACCCCCCTCTGTCAATCCCTGCACTGGCTTCCAATAGCCCAAAGGGTAAAATTCAAAATATTAACAACCACTTACAAAGCCGTCCACAACTCCGCCCCCGGCTATATCTCCAACCTTGTCTCCAAGTATCTCCCTAACCGTCCCCTCCGCTCCTCCCAAGTCCTCTTGCTCTCTAGCTCCCTTGTCAACTCCTCCCATGCTCGCATCCAGGACTTCACCAGAGTCTCCCCCGTTCTGTGGAACTCATTACCCCAACCTGTCCGCCTACTCCTATCTTCTACTCTGTCTACCTTTAGGCGATCCCTTAAGACTCATCTCTTTAGGGAAACATATCCAACCTAACCACTAAAATATCAAACTCTCAAACAATTCATCCCCACACAGCAGCTACCTCCTCACGTATCACTTCTCCCTCCTGTTAGATTGTAAGCCCTCAGGGGCAGGGCCCTCCTCACCATATTGTCTTGTGTTGAATTGTATTGTGATTGTAATGTCTTCCTTATATTGTAAAGCGCTGTGCAAACTGTTAGCGCTATATAAATCCTGTATAATAATAATACAATGTATACTTTTAGGAGCAAATCAGTAGAAAAGAGCATTCAGAATATAAAATGATTTTCTGTTCTTTCTCCAGGACTCCTGGACCCACCCCGTGCACATTATTGTCAAATCATGAGTAATCCTTTTATATTCTACCTGACACGTGCTTGTCAATGACTAAAAGGTACACCATACGGGAAGTGGAATGGAACCACAGCAATGGACGGACAACACAGCCTCTCTTACCACGATGTAGATCTGAGGTTTGCGTCTCTTGGCCAGGTCGATAACATTCACTCCGTTGTAGTACAGGTTCTCGATGCAGCCGTGGAAATTCCGCTTCAGAAAGGCGCCGGGTTTCCCAGATACTGGAATTCCTCCAAAGCTGAACTTTGGAAAAGAAAAAAATCAAAACTTGGCTCATTCCTTTTACTTAACGGCACATTAAAATAAAACGAGAGCGGAGCGCAAATCACATTACAAAGACAGCTCGTCAGTCAAGACGAATACCTGTGCAACCACACTGCAAAATATTTATAAAGATGAATTCCCTGTGGGGACGCAATGTAGATTAAAGTGACATTAAACCCTCAGATTATTTAACATAAACCAATACTGTAATGTGCGCCTTACTGTAATCAATGGTTGTTTCCCTTCTCTTTGCTGCTCTTCCTTTTAAATCCTCATGTCTTCTCATGCTGGGGGAGAACTTCCCTTTGCAGCTGAGTGCCTCTTCCTGTAGTGCTGGCTCAGGTTGTGAACCTACACACAGACACCATGTATCCATTCCAGAGACAAGGCAGTCTGCTGCAAAACATTCAGTATACCGCAAGCAGCAGCTCGCTGTATACTGCGGTGTCTCAGTATATAGGGAGCTACAGCTCGCGGTATACTGAGCCTAGGGTGACGGGAAGACGCTAGTTTGTGTCCTCCCGTTACCCTAAGGAGAACTATGGGGGAAAAGACTTAACCCCATATTTCTCCTTTAAGGAAAACATTATGATACAGAATTACCACTTGAGGAAGCTGTAACCATTCTGTATTATGTGCAAACTCTTTAAGGAGGTTCGGACCCCTTTTGGCTCAATTGAAGATCAAGGTCACGTTTATATCTTTGCGGTGCGTTAACATGTGTAAGCTCGTGCGTTAACATACATTGCATTAGGGCAAACCTTTAGAACTTACCCTAACATGTCAAAAATTGGATGTGACACTTGCTTTAGTGCAGTGGTAGTCAACCTCGGCACTCCAACTGTTGTCAAACTATACATTCCATAAGGTATTGCAAGACTCTGACAGCAGCAGGCATGACTGCCAGAGGCAAAAGCATGATGGGATGTATAGTTTCATCATACCTGGAGTGCCATTGGCTTTCAGGTGGCCAGTGCGGGCTCTCGGGTGGCTAGTTCGGGCTCTCAGGTGGCTAGTTCGGGCTCTCAGGTGGTCAGTGGGGCTCTCAGGTGGCTAGTTTCCGGCTCTCGGGTGGTCAGTGCAGGCTTTCAGGTGGTCAGTGGGGCTCTCAGGTGGGCAGTACGGGCATTGTTCAGGGAAGCCTATCCCACCTCAACCTAACCGCTCGACCATAACGTTCTCAAACAATTCATCCCCACGAAGCTTCCTCCTCATGTATAACTTCCCCCTCCCTTTTTAGATTGTAAGCCCTCAGGGGCAGGGCCATCCTTACCATCTTGTCTTGAATTGTATTGTGATCGAAATGTCTTCCTTATATTGTACAGCGCTGCGCAAACTGTTGGCGCTATATAAATCCTGTATAATAATAATAATAATTGTAAGAATTGGGAGGGGGAGGGCCCAAAAAAAAATCTTGCACCAGGGCCCATTGTTCCTTAGGTCCGCCACTGAGTGCCAAGATTGCCTACCCCTGTCTTAGTGCATTAGGGTACCATTTAAAATAAATGGCACTGCAATGTAGAAGTGCAAATGGGCCCTATGCGCTATAGCTGCACTATGTAAGCTACCAGTTGCTAATCTTTAGTTCTGTCATGCTTATTTAATGGTTTCCACACTGTTACCACTAATCAGAATAAATACACAGATCCGACATTTGGATTTCCCCCGGGCCCCCGACTTCATTAAGACGCACGCAGTGGTCTTAAAAGGAGGTGCGCAACCTTCATATCTCTCTCTCCAGGTTTCCTTTAAAACCCACAGAGCATTTTTTTTTTTTCCACGAATAACCTAAAGTAATTTCTATTCCTTTGTCTGAAGTTCTCCTTCAGTACTTAAAATGGCAAAATACGGACCCTGGAACAATAACCATTTTCTTTTTCCGCTTTCTATATTAGCTCAAAGGTTAAAATATAAAAAAAAGGAAGAAATTTATTATTATTTTTATGCCGCAGAAATACGCAAAGGTCGTTGGGAAATTCGAGATAAAACGTAGCGATTTTATGCCTTTTATGGCGGCCCGTAAAAAGTCAAAAGCGCAAACACAATCTGGAGAGCGCGTGGCTATGTTATTAATTTAATGCGCTATAAAGTTTCAAGCATCTTTTGTTCTTTACTGCACGGTGACGTGTGAAGAGCTAGCCGGCATCGCGGGCCGTCGCTATCGCTCCGCCGTATGTTGGACGGATTTACGCGGCGTGGACGAGCAACTTTCTCGCGCTGAGATAGGTGAGAAAACATTTTTGACAAGCGCTGCCGAGACAAAAATAAAATCGCATTAACCTTGTTCAGAAGTAATTAGCGAGTAATATATCTGCGCTTAATTCCCAAACGTCCTCATTTGTGGGGCCGTGATAAATATGTTCTTGTCAAGTCTAATCCATATCATTGTATTTCCAAAACAGACAAAATGTACTAATTAAGCTCAAATTGGAGTTGCGTGTCGGCGGCGCGGTTTTTTCGCTGTGGCGCGATCATTCTAATCGCCTAATAAATAGCAATAATGCCGGTTATTTCCCTTTTTCGGGTGGTTTTATCGACCATCAAACGCCCTGAGATATAATTTAACGGAGGGCCGTAATCTTTCGGTGGGCTTTCGCCGCCGCGCGCAAACTTAATTAGAAATGTATTGCTCTAAACAAAATATTAACGGCGCCGGCTGCGTCGCAAATCTGATTCCTCGATATTATCCGGAGTATAAAAATTAGGCTGTGAAGCTCGCACGGGACTTTAGTTCACTTCCATAACGAAGACATAAAATGCCTGAAAAATTAAATCTGGCCGCTGATTCTGATCTCACGGCGGGTTTTTAATGGGGCAAAGCACACAGTTTTAATTTTTCGGAGCAAAACTTTGTTAAAGGAGAACTATGACATGAGTGATTTCCACTCACCTCATAGTTCTAAGCCGACCTGTGACAATGAGACTATCACAGGTCGGCTCAGTAGATCGGGAGGTGAGGGAACACATACCGTGTTCGCTCACCTCTCGATCCTGTAACGGCTCTCTGCCGTGACAGGGGGAGGGGCTGGATTCCCCTCTCCCCGCTCCGATCTGCCAGCGCTGACTGGAGGAACGGATGGGGGAGGGGGCGGGTACAGCTGGCTCTGCCTCTAGATAGGCAGAGCCAGCTGTCACTCACGCAGCTGGGCGGATCTCGTCATCTAAGTCGGGATCCGCTCTGGCTGCGGCGTCTCAGTATACCGCGAGCTGTAGCTCCCTGTATACTGAGCTTAGGGTAACGGGAGGACGCTAGTTTGTGTCCTCCCGTTACCCCAAGGAGAACTATGGGGAAAAACACTGACCCCATACTTCTCCTTTAAAAGAAAGAAAACAAGTTTGGTTGAGAACATTCTGCTTTTGTGTCGATATGATTGCACCAAGAACTGGAGCTCCTTCTCAGCCAATGGTCATCATCAATCCATTGGAACACAGAATGCAGCACCGGGGCCAATAGGACGGAAGAGCCCAGGATAACTTTAACTATACAGAAGGTGATCATATAAAAAGAGCCAGCGTGCCTTGGGGGGAGGATTGGTTCGCGGCAACCCCCCCTCCTCCCTTCATCCCTTCATCAGGGGTCAATGGAAGATAAAGACTTCAAGGATCTTAGGTCTTGTTTAGACCAGACACAGTGCGTTCCAGCCCAATTTTGTTCAGACTGAACCATGTACCATTCGGACCAGACCGGACTGCAGCCATTGATGTGCATTCAGGAAGAGATTTACTCTCTCCGCTGCCCCAAGGCCAGGTTCCTCAATGCACCCCCCTGTATGCAGGCTGCATACAAGTGATCTCCGCAACATCGCCGAGATCACTTGTACAAAACAAGCGGCGGCTTCCCCCGCTTTACATTTAGCTCTGCTTGCCCGAAAGAGGGCTAAATGTAGAAAATAACTACCCGCCCGGCACCTGGAACTGCATGACCCGGGCGTCGGGAGATATGAATTCCATACCCCTGTTGTCCCTCTACTCCCTGCTGCCTTGTGGGAAATCCGGCCCTGTGTGCATTGCGTTCCCATGCGGCCGATCGCATTGCAGCCGGAGGGCGTGGCTACAGTGCCATTCACTTCACACCCCCATTCTGCCCCACACCATCGCGGCAATGCGATGCAGTGTGTTCCAGCTAGAATCGGACCGGAACGCACTATGTCTGGTGTGAACAAGCCCTTCGAAGGAACAGTGGCCACAAACAGGGGTGATCCTAGCCTGTGGCGGAGAGGGGGCTGGGGTGCACCCTATCGGTTTAGGGGATGTTGGTGGCCTCCGCAGCATCTCACCCGGCCAGCTTTGGCTCCGGCTCTGGCCGGCGTCCCACCCAACTCTTGGCAACCAGTGACGTTACTGGTTGCCAGGAGCTGGTCGGAAACGCTGGCCAGAGCAACACAGGTTGCTAACAGCTGGGTGGGGAGATGTTTATGGCCTTTACAGATCTCCCTGCCCAACTCTTAGCAACCTGAGGCACCCTGGCCAGAAAGAAGGCGGCAGGCTCACTGCAAACATGGTGCAGCCGAGGGCCCATGATACTCTATTTGCTCCGCCCACGTGACCCAAAGAGATGGTGCCTAAGGCAAAAGCCTCAGGCTCTCTTACTATAGGGATGGTCCTGGCCACAAACATCTCTATTAGGTCTTAAATTAAGCTTTCCTCATGGAGTACTGGTGTATCAGCTGCCGAGCTTCCAATTGCCACTTAGCAATCCAAGCACATTGATGTTTTTTGAACCCTGGTGAAGGGGGAATGCTTTGGCCCCAAGACGGGTTGGCTGATTTTATTAACAATTACATTATCCTTTTGGTCCCATGCTCCTTTCTGCATTCCTATGCTTTGAGCTACAGTCAGGTACCCATTGAAGGAGGACTTCCTGTACGTCAGTCACCTATCCAGAGCTTGTTTGAAGTTTCCACACTGAGCTCATCTAACCCGGCCTCGCCCGTGTCCGCTGCCTGCTCACCCAGTTATCAATTCTATCCATGTTACCTTTGGGGCCCACCCCCCATAGACTTTAAAGTAGTAGTAAACTGTCAAACTTTTTTTTTTCAATAATGAATTTTTCTTGAAGAAGTTTTGCTTGTTATTCAGAATTGAGAAAGCTGGTCGGATGACCAGCAAAAAAGTCTTCAAGAACAATACAGCAAGTCTGGTTGTACTGACAGGTTCTACTCCTCCCCCACGGTATTGAAAACTAAAAAAAAAATGTAAAAAACAACTTTGGGCTGGATTTACACTTCACATTTATATTTCACTTTTCTCCAAATCTGACTTTTTCACAGAAGGCTAAAAAAAAAAAAAAATCTTCAATGACGCATCATGACCAAACGCACCTCATAATCGATGTCCAAGTTGTCGGACTCGCCCTTGGTGCGGAAGTGTTGAGTGTATTTGTCCACTGTGAAGTTGACTTGTTTGTTGAACCGATCTATGAGAACTGAATGCCAGTGCTGATCATCCAAGAGGCTTCCCAAGGTCACCATGGTGTGAGTGTTCGCAAATCGCAGCTTGGCGTCACCTGGGGAGAAAAAACGGGATTTGAGTCTGATAGCAGGAGGGCAACAAGTGTAATTCTCAAAGTCAGTACAGGACAATATTTAATGCTGACCTCCGGCCTCCCCTTCAGTCTTCTACCTGAGCTCCGGCCTCCCCTTCAGTCTTCTATCTGACCTCCGTCCTTCCCTTCAGTCTTACATCTGACCTCCGTCCTTCCCTTCAGTCTTCTATCTGACCTCCGTCCTTCCATTCAGTCTTCTATCTGACCTCCGTCCTCCCCTTCAGTCTTCTACCTGAGCTCCGGCCTCCCCTTCAGTCTTCTATCTGACCTCCGTCCTTCCCTTCAGTCTTCTATCTGACCTCCATCCTCCCCTTCAGTCTTCTATCCGACCTCCGTCCTTCCCTTCAGTCTTCTATCTGACCTCCGTCCTTCCATTCAGTCTTCTATCTGACCTCAGTCCTTCCCTTCAGTCTTCTATCTGACCTCCGTCCTCCCCTTCTGACTTATATCTGACTTCCGTCCTTCCCTTCAGTATTCTATCTGACCTTCGTTCTTCCCTTCAGTCTTATATCTGTCCTCCATCCTTCCCTTCAGTCTTATATCTGACCTGCGTCCTTCCCTTCAGTCTTGCACAGTTGTAGCGGCTCCTCCCCTCTTCCTCTGATTACACTGCACACTGGGAGCTCCTCACAATGTGCATTAGAAGCTGCAGCAAGTCATACAGAGCTCACCTCATTTCCTGGCTGGAGGATGTAAAAACATCATCTAATGCTTTCCTCACCAGGCTGACTGTCCCTGGCCCCGCCCCTTTCATTCATTGGATTTCAGTTCTTTCAATCATGGCGGCTTAGCATTACATACGGGTGCTACCAAAGCTTCCTGTTTTCAGACAACTACGTCTACATCCTGCCAGAGCCTCCCACCAACCCCTTTGCACAGGTCAAGAATATTTTTGCCCACAGTTCTTCTTCGTTCTGATTTAAGACCCAGTTACAGGGCCAGCAGGAAGGGGTTAATGATAAAAATTGATCTTTATGAAGAATGATACTGTTGATGCCAGAAATGTATTCATGTAGACGTGTAAAGTTACTAAATAGTCCAAGGTAAAGGATCAGGGGGACTCTGGGTAAGGGGCTCCCCGAGGCTCCATGCCTATGACACACACTATATTACCATCACAGATGCTGAATATTGTCAGTTATGTGATTTACACCGATCAGCCATAACATTATGACCACCCCCCTAATATTGAGTAGGTCCCCCTTTTCCTAAACCGTCCAGGCATGGACTCCACTTGAAGGTGTGCTGTGGTATCTGGCACCAAGCCATCAGTAGCAGATCCTTTAGGTCCTGTAAGTTGTAAGGTGATCGGCCTCCATGGATCGGACTTGTTTTTCCAGCACATCCCACAGGTGATCGATTGGATTGAGATCTGGAGAATTTGGGGGCCAAGTCATCACCTCAAACTCGTTGTTGTTTTCCTCAAACCATTCTTGAACCATGTGTGCAGTGTGGCCGGGCTCATTATCCTGCTGAAAGAGGCCACTGCCATCAGCGAATACCGTTTCCATGAAGGGGGGGGGGACGTGGTCAGTAACAATGTTTAGGTCGGTGGTACAAGTCACGTAACATCCACATGAATGGCAGGACCCGAGGTCTCCCAGCAGAACATTGCCCAAAGCATCATACTGCCTCCGCCGGCTTGTCTTCTTCCCATAGTACATCCTGGTGCCATTTCTTCCCCAGCTAAGTGACACACATGGACCCAGCCATCCACGTGATGTAAAAGTTAACGTGGTTCATCAGACCAGGCCACCTTTTTCCATTGCTCTGTGGTCCAGTTCTGATGCTCATGTGCCCACTGTAGGCACTTTTGTGGTGGACACGGGTTAGCATGGGCACCCTGACGGGTTTGTGGTTATGCAGTCCCATACACAGCAAGCTGTCATACTCTGTGTGTTCAGACTCCTTTCTATCAGAACCAGCATGAACTTTTTCAGCAATCTGAGCTCCAGTATCTCTTCTATTGGATCAAACTACACGGACCGGACTTCTCTCCCCACGTGTATCAATGAGCCTTGGCTACCCATGACCCTGTCACCGGTTCACCAGTTTTCCTTCCTTGGACCACTTTTGGTCGGTCCTGATAACTGCAGACCGGGAACATCCCACAAGAGCTGCCGTTTTGGAGTTGCTCTGACCCAGTCATCTAGCCGTCACAATTTGGTCCTTGTCAAAGTCGCTCAAATCCTCACACTTGTCCATTGTATCTGCTCCCAACACATCAACTTCAGGGACAAAATGTTCACTTCCTGCCTAATATATCCCCCTACTTTCAGTGATCAGAATGTTATGGCTGATCGGTGTATTTATATCACAAACTGCTTCAGTGTAAAAGTAAATACACAGAATATTTCAGTGCAGACTTTTACACTCACATTCAGGAATTTTATTATCGGCTAATTTACATAAAGGCAACTTATTGATGTATTGGTTCTTTTTGAGGGTTCATTAATATGCGACATCAAAAATAGGTTTCCCAGATTTGCATACAGTACGGCCATGTGACCCACTTCAGTAGAGTTAAAAAAAATTTCATCTGTTTTCCCCTCCAGTGTTTCCTGATCTCGAGCACATGACTCCGATATGTGAGGATTGCGAATGAATACAATGTATAGAGGGCGGCGATCGGTCTGCCCGATCCGTCTGTTAATATTATAGGCAAAAAAAAAAACGACTTACTACTTCAAAATTGCAACCCACAATACACAGTTGCCATGGAAACAGAAGTTTAACTTTACTTGTGTTGACGTGAGGAAGAAAATAAACATTGAAAAGTAACGAGTCTAAAAATGAAGTTGGAAACGTCTAGAAGCAGAAGACGCTTTTCCGTCCTGCTGATCGCCAATAACTGCGTTATACATTCAACGCGAGACTGATAAACGTCCGCAGACCAACGCTTTCCTGAGATAGAGAAACATGAAAGCAAAATAAAAAAATAACAATGAAAATGGTTTTGATATTGGGAGGCGGGAAGGTGGCAATAATGTTTTGCTCTGTCGCCATTCAGGAATCGGTATGGCGAAAATTCAATTTTAAACCGTTATTATGGGCAAAAATAAAAAATGACACGTAGGACTCAGTCTGACAGTTTTATGTTTTCCCTGCAACAGAGTTTTATTACATGTTAAAGGAGAACTATGGGGTCGGTGCTTTTTCCCATAGTTCTCCTAAGGGAGCTGAAGTTGCTAGAGGGCCAGACCATTATAAATAGGGAAGCAGGTTGGTTACCACGACAGTAGAAGTGATTTGTTTCTGAAGATACGGGGAAACAACGCGATGTAACAGCCTTTGAACGCGGGATGATTGTTGGCGCTCGGAGCCATGGAGCGAGTATCAGCAAAACAGCAGAATTGGTTAAATGTTCAAGAGCAGCTGTTGTTAAAGTGTTTAAAGACCGGACTGTCAGCCGAAAATCTGGGTCTGAACGTGCGAATTGTGGCCGTCAGCGACTAGTCAATGTTAGGGCAGAACGGAGAGCGGCAAGACTGGTACAAGACAACAGAAGGGTAACAGTGCAGTGTCAGATTCCTCGCATCACCTTTCATCATCTCGTGGAGTCACGAGGCGGCCCAACGAAGTACTGATGGGGTGGTCATAATAATCTGGCCACTCAGTATATAGCGAGCTACAGCTCGCTATATACTGAGACGCTGCAGCCGGGGCGGATCCCGACAATTCTGTCGGGATCCTCCCAGCTGCGTGAGTGACAGCTGGCTCTGCCTATCTAGAGGCAGAGCCAGCTGTACCCGCCCCCTCCCCCGTCCGTTCCGCCAGTCAGTGCTGCAGGATCGGACAGGGGAGGGGGAATCCCTGCAGCGATAGATCGAGAATGGTATGCGAGCGATGGTATGTGTTCGCTCACTTCCTGATCTATTGAGCCGACCTGTGACAGTTTCATTGCCACACGTCGGCTAGAACTATGAGGCTGAGCGATTTTCACTCACCTCATAGTTCTCCTTTAAACCAGCCAGTAGATCTGTTATTTTTAAATATCCTTTAGCAGGCCAAGCTGTAGGGTTGCAACCTTTTCTTCAAGCAAAACCCGAACACTCTAGCAACGCGTGGATATTTTTTTGGGAGAATGAGCCGCGGCTTATTCATATGTAAATAGTGCCATCCATTCATATGTAAATATCACAGTTGAGACTTTTTTCAGTGGGAGGCCAGTAGCCCCTATCATAATTTTGGTTGCCCCTGCCTGCCTGACATCTTGTGTCCGGGTTTCTGCTGCCATGAAACCTGGACAAAGCATTCAAAACCCGGACTGTCCGTGTGAATCCTGGACAGGTGGCAACCCTACCAAGCTGTCCAGCAGACGTGACAGGTACAGGGGTTGGGACAAACCCTTGCTTACAATGGTCGGCTTTTAGTCATAGTAAAATAAAAGGAGTGACTGCAAAAAAGACTATGGGGGTTATTCACAAAGCTAGCCGAAGGCAGCCGAGTGAATAACCGAGCCGAGGTAAAGTGACCCGAATGCTGTTCGGCTATTCACTTCAGCCTTGCACGGCTGATTTCAGCTGAACATCGCCTAAAATAAGCCGTAGATTGGCTGCCTTTGGTCAGCCGAACATGCTAGCATGTCCGGTTGAGCCAAAGCGCAGAAGGATTTCAACTCATCCGATCCACTGAGCTGAAGCTCCGGCAGGTCACTCGCTGCCACTCGCCCCTATTCTCATAGGGGCCGAACCGCAGTAAGTGAATAGCCGATTTTTCTGAGCGGCATTTGGCTCGGCTATTCTGCTCGGTACCTCCATGGTAGCAAGCAGAATAGTAACACAATTAAACAAACAAAAACAAAAAAGTTCAAAAATTATTTTTAACATTTTTAAAAATAGGAAAAAAAATTAAATATTTTAAAGAAAAGAGAAAAATTTAAAAAAATAAAAACTGTTTACTATTGGCCGGCAACTGCGAGAGTCAGTGAATAACAACTGGGCGGAAACGGCCGTGACGTCTGCTCAGTTGTTATTGTTTAATGACAGATCAGCGTCCCCAGGTCATTTGGGGACGCTGATCTGTCATTACAACTGGATGGAGCGAGCAGTGAGATCACGACTGGCTCCGCCCCAGCTGAGATTTGCGTGGAGATCGGTCGGCTTTGGCCAACTTTTCTCCTCGCCTCGGGTGTCACTACATCTCAGCCGAGTCGACGCATATGCGTTTGGCTCGGCTGCCTTCTCCTGCTGTTCAGGCGCTATTGTGAATTCAAACCTTACTTTGTACAGACTGACCCCTCGGATGGCGGGACCGCAGCCAAGATGGCGCCGGATCGCTCTACGGCCAAATTCGCCTCGTGGTCTCCGGAGGCCTCATCATCCGTGGGAGATGTGACCCCGACAAGCTCTCAGTCTTCCATCGCCTCCTCGATCGGGATGTTACAGCAGAACTTGGATCGCTCACCGAGGAGTACCGGGCCAGAGCGGAAAGAAACGATGACGAGGTATGTGAGTTACGAGGGGAAGGGTACTCCTACAACAGCTAGACGGGCCTCAGATGATACCCCTTCCTGTGGTCAAGCAGAAGTGGGATCCCCGGATGCCCCACATGCCGATTCTGCACAGACCCGGGAGGCAGAGGCCCGCTCTCCGTCCTCATACCCTCCGTCTCCTACTCTGACAAGGCCGCAGCCGTGTGACCAGGCCCAGAAGCCGCAGCGGACTCCTCGCCCCAGGGACACTAGCCCCAGGGACACTAGCCCAACGGGTCATGCTACGATTTTACAGGAATACATTACAGACCCTACCCCTGGCTGTGAACCCCTAGAGCAACCAAAGAGACAATACAATGGGAATTCAGCCAACCTACACTCAGTGCCACAAATATCCCCTTCACAAATAGTACAGGACTCTCCATCACCAGGGTTGGGGAAACATATGTCAACAGAACCGCAAAAACGCAAGTTTCCGTATCTTTTCCTATTATTTTCTTTATCTACCCAAGTGAATGGACATGAGTCTTTTCTATTAAAATGATACGTATTGTGTTGGAAGCTGCTGTTCTATTTTTATAGCAAGACAAACTGAAGAATATGCAATTAATATAGTAACTGCGCTTCAATGTGGATAATAACATTTTTTTTTTTTATTATTCTCTTCAAATCAATGGAGATATAGAAGGTAGCTTCTAGAATGCAATTCAACATCCCATTCACATGTCTAATGTCTAGTGTGTTATGTTGGCGATTTTGCTTATTATTATGCATTATTGTGTATTGTGTATCTTTAAAAATTTTCAAAATAAACAAAAATGTCAATCAAAAAAAAAAAAAAAGGGCTCCGGCGGCCGAAGAGAGCCGAAGGATCAGCTGAAGCTACGGCTGGATGCTTCGGCTCTTTGGTGAATAACCCCCTATGGGGTCTAGTTAGAACTCTTTCGCCCGGCCATTTGCTGTGGAATGCCATTCACACAGCATTTCCTTCACTAGATGGAACCAAGGAGCATAGGACATACACATTGGAAGGACGCCACATGTGCTCTGATGAATTAAGCTTCTTTAGAGCGACGTCACTTCGATCTACTGAGCCGACCTGTGATAGTCTCATTGTCACAGGTCGGCTACAACTATGAGGTGAGTGAAAAGCACACACCTCATAGTTCTCCTTTAAGCTCTGCTTGCCCAAAGCGTGCCTAAATGTAGAAAACAACTACCCGCCCGGCGCCCGGAACTGCATGTCCTGGGCATCGGGAGATAGGAATTCCACACCCCTGTTGCCCCTCTACTCCCTGCTGCCCCTCTACTCCCTGCTGCCCTTAGGTCAGGCCTCGGTTGGCCGTGTGGGAAATCCAGCCCTGGTCACTGGTAACGTGACCTATTGCATGAAAAATCTTTGTAAGTAATCACAGCAGATTTTCTATCGTATTTTGGGTTCTCCCTTACTGCGCATCACACTTTATCCCATGCTGGGGAAACAGAGAGTCTGCGCGAAGGGAGGATCTTCGGTCACTAAATTTCGATTCAGCGATTTCTGACATTTAAAGGTTCTCCGTTTATCACAGAAAATCTGCAAAGTGCGGATGTAACAGATGTATTTCTGCTGGGACCTCCGCCGATGTACGAGCTAATTACTGGTGACATTTTAGTCACTGAACATCAGGCTCTGCGAACGCACTTCCGCGGGAGCCTCTCACCGCTCACCCCAATTCCCAGAGCTGGCTTCTGTTTCAAATGCTTTTCAATAAAAAATTACATGCTAAAAAAAAAAAGAAAGAAAGTTTACTTGGCTTCTTTCCCTTGGAATACCTATTACACATATCCCAGGAGGCTGTATTTTCCATTGCCCGTGGAACCCTGGGACATGTCAAGACACTCTTGTTCCTGAAATCTGGTTCTTGCAACCATAAACAAAATGACAATTTGAGTCCGCAAGGAGCCACCTGCAAGAACCAGGAGGATGATGATGAAAACTGATGACCGACGATGAAGAAAAGAAGGAGAAGAGAAGGTAGAGGAAGAAGAAAGTAAAGGAGAGGAGAAGGTAGAGGAAGAAGAAAGTAAAGGAGAGGAGAAGGTAGAGGAAGAAGAAAGTAAAGGAGAGGAGAAGGTAGAGGAAGAAGAAAGTAAAGGAGAGGAGAAGGTAGGGGGGAGGAAGAAGGCAGAGGAGAGGACGGCATTGCCAGATCCGGTGGGCTTACGAGTATCTTTATGCCGCATAAACAAACACAAATGAAACAGGCAGATGGAGGATGACTTTCAGGGGAAGGTGCAACGTTCACTTTAAGAATGAACAGCAGTGGGGAATCTCAAGCGTAGGTTCTGCACAGAAATCCCTAAAGGCAATGATGTCCATTTACTCATCTCAGTCCTAAATTCAATAACTCAAGGTAGTGTATGTAGAACCTGACAGGTTAGCTTAAAACAGCATTTTCTTACAAGAAAAAAAACAAAAACCAGCTGCGTACCCAGGTTAATGGAGAGAGACAATCTCCCTTTCTGTAGCTCCAGCGTTATATAATCCCCGCGTTGTCCTTCTCCGTGAAATAATACTCCATCACTCTGCATGCTCTTGAACTTCAGGGAGATGACATCTTTATATGTGGTCATCAGTTTCTGATTGAACCTGTAGAGGAGCGAGCTTCTGCCATCAAAGTCCGCCACGTCGGATTCTAAAGAGGAGGACAAAGAAAGAGGCCATTGAGAATCAGTCATGTAAGCGAAATGAACAAGGTCAGTGACAGCTCTGCTCTCATCTGGCATGAACATCAACAACACCTTTATGGACAATATTGGGTCAGCGTTGTCTTCTTTCCCTGAATCGAATCCCCTGGAGAATCCCTTAAAGAAGAACTTGTTGGAATTACATTAAGTGCCCCTGCTGGTTCTACTTGGCAGAGGCACAATACAAATACACAGAAGATGGATTCATATAACAGATAGATCAAATGAGAACTTCCATATAGATCCTGTTAGATCAAATTAGAAATTCCATTACTTTAAATGCTTACATTACAGTATCCTCTAGTTGTGTACATTCCTCTCAGGCTCTGATTTTTCATGTGTGTGCAATGAGGAGGAGAAAGAGCCACTTCAGGTCAGGGGTCATACCCACAAGAACTTTGGTTCCAGTGTTTATAGTGTGGCAGCAGGCAGATGGGGATGTCTGTGTTTAAGTGTAATACTGAAGTTCTTCCTCTAGGGGGAAGTGCTGAGAGGGCTGGAGGCTTGGAAGTAACAAGCCCAGGTGAAGCTAGCTGGCTTTTTGAGGCCTCTACAAGAACTCCCAGCCTCCTAAGGATGCAGCTCCACCCTGGAACCAGTCTGTATGTCGGGTGGACTGGTGGGCAGTTCACCTGTGTGCAGGGCCGGATTTACACTACCTGCTGCCCCAAGGCCAGGTTCTTCAATACGCCTCCCTAACCGCCAAACACCCCCCCTCCCCCTCCCATGGAGAATATCAGACGTGCAGGCTGCATACAAGTGATCTCGGTGACATCGCCTAGATAACTTGTAGAAAACTAGCGGCTGCTTACCCGCTGCACATTTAGCTCTGCTTGCCAAAAGCGTGCCTAAATGTAGAAAACAACTACCCACGGCGCCCAGAACTGCATGTCCCGGGCATCGGGAGATAGGAATTCCACACTCCTGCTGCCCCTCTACTCCCTGCTGCCCCAAGGCTGGGCCTTGATTGGCCTTGTGGGAAATCCAGCCCTGCCTGTGTGGTGAAAAGCAGCTTGTGTGGCAAGAGGATGAAAGACAAGCCTGTGTGGCAACCGCTTTGACTACAACCTGTGTGGCCAGAAGTTTTGTTAAAGGAACCACCTGAAGTCGGTGAGACTTGAAAATGTTATTCTGATGACAGAAAAAACTGTACTTTATGTTTGAAAACCCCTGCGAGAGAACACCTGTGTGGACTTTTGAGTTAGTAGAAGTGGACAAAGAAGCCCTTAAAAAGTGGAAAGGGAGTGGAAGTGTCCTTAAAGGAGAACTATGAGGTGAGTGATTTTCACTCAACCTCATAATTTGAGCCAACGTGTGACAATTAAACTGTCACACGTCGGCTCAATAGATCGGGAAGTGAGCGAACACATAGCGTCGCTCGCTCACTTCTCGATCCTGTCCCTGCAGAGAGCCATGGCTGTCACTCACGGCTCCCTGCAGGGATACCCCCTCCCCGCTCCGATCCTCCAGCGCTGACTGTCAGAACGGACGGGGCGGGTACAGCTGGCTCACCCTCTAGATAGGCAGAGCCAGCTGTCAATCACGCAGTTGGGTGGATCTTGACAGTAATGTCGGGATCCGTCCCGGCTGTGGCACTCTCAATATACCGCGAGCTCTAGCTCGCGATATACTGAGCGCTGGGTCAAGGGAGGACGCTAGTTTATGTCCTCCCGTGACCCTTAAGAGAACTATGGGGAAAAACACAGACTCCATAGTTCTCCTTTAATGCACTATCATTTGAAGTTAATAGGTAAAAGTTCTGTTGAAGTCCATCTTCCAATCACGTGCAAGCAAAATTATAATTGTTTTGCATTTTTATTTCCCATGCATGTGATTGGATATTCTTTGCAAAGTGATTTTTTACCACATTCACCGAGCTAAGGGTATATTCCCCTGCAAAGTGAAGAGCCAATTTGACTTTAGTCAATGAAACCCCCACAACACCCAACACAAATCAAATCCCCTGAAATTAAATCGGAATGCTGGTTCTTTACTTCTCCTTCTACCTAATAAGACATGTACAGCCATTTTCAAATCAAAGGAGTCTCTACCAGAGCCAATCGCCTGACAAGCGTGGGAGAAGAACCTCGTTCTTTGATGTGCGAAGCACTCCGAGGAAATGTCACAAAACAAACCCGCACATAAAACAAAATGATCCGACTCCGTCATTTGCAAGCAGTATATTCTCTTTAATTGAACAACACGCTTGCGTTTCCAAGGAAAAGAAAAAACAATTAGAGAGAGAACTCCGTACAGTACGTTTTCAATCCAGGCCATGACAAGCATTGGCGTCTCTAGAGGGTCCACCTTTGAAATTGCAAAGAGAGGAAAAACAAACAAACACTTAGCCACCTGCCTCCATATCCCTACCGGAGGAATCCAGAATTCATTACCGTGCTTGGTGTTCACACATACAAGCAAGATTAAAATACCCAGGGGCCTTTGTTTTCTTAGGTTTCATATTTTTTCCCCGTTCCCTGGTGATTCTCATTTTATTCCTTGTCCCTGTTTTGCTGTTGGTTGCACAGAAGAATTGTTGTTGTTGGTAGGTTTAAAAATGCAAACACCAGATTTTCTAGTTGACAGAGAAGGATGTCCATTAGGTAATGGAACATGTTCTGCCGGTTGGCCCATCTGGGGAATCGGGCTTAAAGGACCACCTGCAGGCCCCAGAACATTAGGTGCTTACAGGGCAACATATGTTGGCCGCTCATAAGTTACAGGTTTTAGAAAGACGATGAGCCTTGGGTTGGCTGCTTCGTTTTTTCAACTGATTTCCCCAGCTGTTATCATTTGTTGACTAATGAGAAGCACCGGCCTAAAGCCATAAGCATGCGTAATATGTAACCTTGCCCAAAGATGACACGGAGACTGATGAAGATGGAAAGGTCAAGGCCATAGTTTTATTGAATTTCCAACCTAACAACATAACCAGCGCCAGTCATAGTTATGCTGAGAGCACACGAGAATAGTAACTTGACATAGTCTGAAAAGAATGTCCTTACCATGAGTTCTGGACAGGCATTAGAATAACCCAAAAACTCCACTTGAGGGCATAGCCTATTAAAGGAACTCTAACCACTGGCAAGGTGAACCCACCAATAAAGCTGTGATGATCATCATCTAAAAGAGGGGTAGGTGGGCATACAACTCTTCTGAGGGCAGAAGGTCTTCAGGTCAGAGGTTCCTGCCTCAGTGTAGTCTTTACTGAAGATCCTAGCCAACCTCTTCACCTCATGTCCTGGTAGCTCTACTTTAAACCGATGTGTGCTAATGTTAACTCCCCCTTCACTGAGCCATGCTTCCATCAGTCAAGACGCCCTTCCGCTAGGGTCTCAAGGAGCTTTTATTATGGCTGCATATTCTTTTCTTGTATTGCCCTCTACCATACCATACTGAAGATCATAGCCAACCTCTTCATCTCATGTCCTGGTAGCCAATCACAACTAATCTACTTTCAACCTATGTGTGTTAATGTTAACTCCCCCTTCACTGAGCAATGCTTCCATCAGTCAAGACGCCCTTCCGCTAGGGTCTCAAGGAGCTTTTATTATGGCTGCATATTCTTTTCTTGTATTGCCCTCTACCATACCATACTGAAGATCATAGCCAACCTCTTCATCTCATGTCCTGGTAGCCAATCACAACTAATCTACTTTAAACCTATGTGTGTTAATGTTAACTTCCCCTTCACTGAGCCATGCTTCCATCAGTCAAGACTCGCTTCCGCTAGGGTCTGAAGGGGCTTTTATTATGGCTGCATATTCTTTTCTTGCATAGCCCTCTACCATACCTTAGCCATTTCTCTTTTGATATCATATACTATAATTTTGTTTGTGGTACCTGGTAAGCACAGTTTACTTAATAGCTTTTTAACCTCAATGCACATTTTTGTTATATTTTATTTTGGCTTTTTTGCCTCTGGAGGCAGGAATGGGGGGGTTGCTGGTGGTGTACACACTTAGTGGGGGGGGCTGGGAGGGTTGCTGGGGGAGAGCCATGCTGCTGCCCAGGCGTGCAGAAGTGATGCCACCGCTCTTGATTGTGTCCCACCCAGCTTCTGGCAGTCCTCCTCTCAAGAGCCCTCAGCCCCCTGATGCAAGCAGTGGGCCGGCCCTTGGGAGGAGTTATGCAAATATTAATATGCCTTGATGGGCAGAGGAGTGGGTATTCCTAAGCAGACAGTATTTGCATGCAGACTGCCCTAGGTAACACCCACGTGATGCTGAGCCCCCATGATTGAGAGAACTGAATTAAAGAGGTGGGGCCGGGACAGTCAGGCTGGGGAGGAATGCGCTAGATGATGCGGTATATTCTCCAGTCATGAAATGGGGCGGGCTCTATCTGACTTGATGCAGCTTCTAATGCAGATTGTGAGAAGCTCCCAGTGTGCAGTGACATCAGAGGAAGAGGAGGCGGTACAACGGAGGTCAGATATAAGACCGAAGTCAGATATAAGACCGAAGGGAAGGGCAGAGGTCAGATATAAGACTGAAGGGAAGGATGGAGGTCAGATAGAAGACTGAAGGGGAGGACGGGGGTCAGATATAAGACTGAAGGGAAGGACGGAGGTCAGAAATAAGACCGAAGGGAAGGACGGAGGTCAGATAGAAGACTAAAGGGAAGGACGGAGGTCAGATATGAGACTGAAGGGAAGGACGGAGGTCAGATATAAGACTGAAGGGAAGGATGGAGTTTAGCTTTAATGATATCTGAGTGGTTGAGCCATTGACAAAAGAGATTAAGATGATGCGAAATGTTTGGAGTGCGAATCATTTGACAAAATGCCATTACATGAAGTGCGGCAGTAGAACGTCTAACACAAGTGCAGAGTTTTTATATTACATGATATAATTTAATATAAATTTCAAATGCGAAATGTGTCATGAAGATGAAGGTCACAGCGACAGAATAAAAAAATCAAAAAAAAATCAGAAGAAATTCCAACAATTGAGTTCATATCGTTTCCAGAAATTGAACATTAGACTGAAAGAGGAGACGGAGCATCAGTTATATTTCCAATTGCCGCTCAGATGACTCACAACCTCTCCTGAAATGAAATAAATGGCAATACAATCATCTATGGCATCCGCGGCATTTACGTCAATAAAAGATGCACTATGCCGGTGCCCCATCTTTACTTTGTGATTGTAACGGCGCCATTCGTTGGCCAACGCGGCACCCACCAGGCTTTTTTTTTTTTTTTTCTGGAAATAAAAAACAAAATTAGAAGTTATACTACTAAAACTAAGAGAAAAAAAAAATGAAAAAACGGACAAATGTTAACCCTGAAAGAAAGCAGCTGTAGGAGCCCAGAGGGTGCTGCAATACAGCCAAGTGAAAAAAAAGTCCACAACACCAAAGGGCTAGTTGCCATACATACACTTATGCAGGAAACCATAGGCAATTTAAACATTGATTTGGACAGCTGGGGCTGTCCTGGAAGTCCCCAGTCATGGGTACCCCAGGTCCACTGACCTTTGCTGTACTCCATGCCGGGGGAAGCCCCTGCTCACTAGCACGAACGCCTAAGAAAAAAATAAGAAACGTTACGATGTCCTGCTCGGCCGGAGGAAACACAAAATAACTGAAGTGTGCTAGGCTGGTACTCTTCCTTTTAGGTGTGGGTGATGTGTTTCCTGTTTCCGGTGGGAGGAGCCTATCTCTCTGATGTTGTCCTGGAAGGTGACTAGAGAAAACAAAATTAAGGTTATACTACTAAAACTGAGAGAAAAAAATAACATTGTACTACACAAGTACTGTTTTGTGTTCGGTTATTTCACATAGAAGATAGATATCTTCCCATTCGGATGATAACTGGTTTCTATTCCCCATTAGCATAGCCGCCAGTTCCAAGCAGTGAAAAAGCGGTACTAAAATGGGGGGCCACCAGGCGTTTTTGAATCTAAGTGGTCAGGAGTGCGATGGGTTCATGGACTACTGGAAATACGAGGGAAGCGCACTTCCTGTCTGTGCTCTCTGTTTTGTGCTTTTCAGGGAGTCACTCTTACGGGGTCTATCTGTAAACCATTCGCCCCGCGGTACTCTGAGCAAGCTCATTCTGTGCGAACAGAAGCAAAATAGAGGTATTTTGTTCCTCTGCTCTTCAACTCCATCTAGTGCCCAAAATGCAGTATTACATTACATTACATTCTACCTGAAGCAAAAATATACAACAAATCTTCATTTTCCCCCCCTCTCTACTCGGTGTATATAATAATCCGGCCACTCGGTGTATATAATAATCCGGCCACTCAGTGTATATAATAATCCGGCCACTCAGTGTATATAATAATCCGGCCACTCAGTGTATATTAGGGATGCACCAATACTGATACCAGCATCCCTGCCTATACTGGTAATTTTCATGAGTACACATACTTGTGAAAATGCCCCGATACCAAAAATTGAAGCGTTTGCCCTGTCCTGTGCTTGCTGGGGACCTTGTGGCAGCCTTCTTGGGAACCACGCAGCACCTGTTTACAACGCTTACGTTGGGCTGCACACCCCTCCTGAGACCCTGCACACCCCTCCTTACACCCTCTGCACCCCTCCTGAGACCCTGCCCACCCCTCCTTACCCCCTCTCCACACCTCACAACACCCTGCATGGCTGCACACCCCTCCTGAGACCCTGCACACCCCTCCTTACACCCTCTGCACCCCTCCTGAGACCCTGCACACCCCTCCTTACACCCTCTGCACCCCTCCTGAGACCCTGCACACCCCTCCTTACACCCTCTGCACCCCTCCTGAGACCCTCCACCCAAGACATTGGGCCAGCCCCCCGGAGCAAAGCGGTAGCACAGAGCTTGTAGAAAATGTTTATACTATTATTCTGCATTGTTGTATAATGTATTGCTGGGATGTGTAGCCCTCTATATCTGGTGGTATTATTCTGCATTACTGTATAATGTATGGCTGGGATTTGTAGTCCTCTATAGCTGATGGTATTCTGCATTGCTGTATAATGTATTGCTGGGATTTGTAGTCATCTATAGCTGGTGGTATCCTGCATTGCTGTATAATGTATTGCTGGGATTTGTAGTCATCTATAGCTGGTGGTATCCTGCATTGCTGTATAATGTATTGCTGGGATTTGTAGTCATCTATAGCTGGTGGTATCCTGCATTGCTGTATAATGAATTGCTGGGATTTGTAGCCCCTCTACAGCTTGGAGTCAGTGATAGAACTCCCAGGGTTGCAGAGGTTGCAGCTGGGACCAGGCCCTGGCACTCCACCACTTTCCTAAAATCATTAGTCTGTATTGTTTTAGAAAAACTGTCACATGACACTAAAAAAAAGGTGTCTCTAATTGGTATTGGCGAGTACATGAGGAAAAGTGTCAGTACTCGTACTCGGTCTGGAAAAAATGGTATCACTGCATCCCTAATAGAAATACTGGAATACTGACGGAAGCATGGCTCAGTGAAGGGGGAGTTAACATTACCACACATAGGTTGAAAGTAGATTAGTTGTGATTGGCTACCAGGACATGAGATGAAGAGGTTGGCTATGATCTTCAGTATGGTATGGTAGAGGGCTATGCAAGAAAATAATATGCAGCCATAATAAAAGCCCCTTCAGACCCTAGCGGAAGGGCGTCTTGACTGATGGAAGCATGGCTCAGTGAAGGGGGAGTTAACATTAACACACATAGGTTTAAAGTAGAGCTACCAGGGCATGAGGTGAAGAGGTTGGCTAGGATCTTCAGTAAAGACTACACTGAGGCAGGAACCTCTGACCTGAAGACCTTCTGCCCTCAGAAGAGTTGTATGCCCACCTACCCCTCTTTTAGATGATGATCATCACAGCTTTATTGGTGGGTTCACCTTGCCAGTGGTTAGAGTTCCTTTAATAGGCTATGCCCTCAAGTGGAGTTTTTGGGTTATTCTAATGCCTGTCCAGAACTCATGGTAAGGACATTCTTTTCAGACTATGTCAAGTTACTATTCTCGTGTGCTCTCAGCATAACTATGACTGGCGCTGGTTATGTTGTTATGTTGGAAATTCAATAAAACTATGGCCTTGCCCTTTAACATTACCACACATAGGTTGAAAGTAGATTAGTTGTGATTGGCTACCAGGACATGAGATGAAGAGGTTGGCTATGATCTTCAGTATGGTATGCTAGAGGGCAATGCAGGTAAAGAATACGCAGCCATAATAAAAGCCCCTTCAGACCCTAGCGGAAGGGAGTCGTGACTGATGGAAGCATGGCTCAGTGAAGGGGGAGTTAACATTAAGGCCCCATTCACACTGCGCGATTTGCATTTTGCGCAATATCGTGCGATTTGTCGCGCGATATCACGCAAATGCTTGCATTGCAAAGAATGGAATCGTGGCAAAATCCGCTCCAAAAAAGGTCCTGCTGTAGCGACGCACGACCCGCGACAGCAGGACCCTTTGCCCCACTGCCTTGCATTGGAGAGCGATATCGCGCGGTATATAGCCGCGATATCGCGGGAATTACTGCGCGATAAATCGCTCAATGTGTACGGGGCCTAACACAAATAGGTTTAAAGTAGAGCTACCAGGGCATGAGGTGAAGAGGTTGGCTAGGATCTTCAGTAAAGACTACACTGAGACAGGAACCTCTGACCTGAAGACCTCAGCCCGCAGAATAGTTGTACGCCCACCTACCCCTCTTTTACTGTATATACAGTGGGACATATAGAGAAATCCTGTGTACAGATAGATTCCTACTCCCACCTGCTTTATAGTCCATCCATCCCACCGTCAGGAATGACACTAATGCATTAAGTAAAACGGAGCCGCATCTCATTTGCATGTCATTATGTGGCACCTCGTTGTACATCACTGAGCTGACTCCGGTGAATCTGCTCATCCTGTCGAGATCAGAAAACATCTGCATAATGAACGCTAGTCATCTTATAAGATATGTATAAATATTTATGGCTCAGCAAGCCCTGATTACATGTCTACGTGATGGAAGACAAAAGGCAAAATAAAAGCAATTAATGCTAATGGCATCCTATCAGTGTCACTTGCAGCACCGGGGATTTGGGCATTAAGCGATTCCAGAGTTAGAGATACACGCAGGCAAAACGTAAGGTGAAAATGTTGGAAACAAAGCCGCGATCCTGAGCACCCGGAACCGAGAATCTATAAGTCAAGAACTGAGTGATCACATACCGCCGATCACACAGTTCCAGATTTTCTCCCTGCAGAGAGCGGTTATTATCAGTCACCTTCCCACGCAAGACTGCCCTCCCCTCCCCCCTACGTCACTGGTTGCCAGGAGCTGGGTGGGACGCAGGCCAGAGCCGGAGCCAAAGATGGGTGGGGAGATGATGCAGAGACCATAAAACCAATCAATACATGACACAGTGGTGCCAAAATGCAGTCAGCAGAAGGAAACGCAGAGCACAATGGGGACCAGACACCCGATGCACAGAAATGTTTCTCACGTTGGAGATTGGAAGATTTTTCTTTTTTTGTTAAAGTAAAATAAAAGGTTTGCTGATATTTTGGGGGGCAAATCTATAAAAACTGGAGACGTGAAAAGCCGAGCCCTTTCCCACAGCAGCCAACCAAATGCCATCTTCCATTTTGTGTATAAGGAAAATCATTTCATCGGCTGCTACAGGCACCTCCCGGCTCCCCGTAAACTGGCTTGTGATTGGCTGACGCTGAAAGCAGAAACATAAATTGATACAAAGTGAACGAGTCAATCCGGCTGGAAATCTGCATGGAAATGAACCTACTTACTATAAGAACAGCCATAGACCTCCACTCTCATCCCGATTCTGCCGCTGGGATTCCACTCCAAGGGGACAAATCTGACAAATCTGGCTTTCATGGAATGCTGGAACTTGTGGTTCACCACGCCGTCTGCGTTGATGTTTCCAGGAAAGACCTATGGACAGAATGCAACAAAAATAAATGATCAAGTCAAACCGCCTCACGTGACATTTAGAAGAACCAGCCATGAAATCTCTTACCCAGAATCCCCTGGAACTTATAGGGAAATCAGCACGCAGTCCCCGTCCTCACCTTCGTCTGGCGCGAACGCAAGCCCAAGGTGATGCGTTCAAAACGTGCGTCGCGCTTGCATGCCATTACTTGTTAATGACACGCCAAACGCGCCCAGCAAAATGCGGGATGCCCACAGCTGATGTTGCATGAGCTACTTTGCTGCATTTTTCGCACGTCTGGCACCCATTGAAATTGATGGGTGACGCGTGGCAAAAAATGGCCAAATGTGCGTTCCCGCATCGCATAGTGTGAACGGGACTTTAAGCCCTCATTCACACTGGAATCGGCCGGCACGTACAGCTTGGTGCTGCGTGCGCGGCCTTTTCGAGCAGCTCCCGGGAAGGACAGTTGCTGCGTATGATTAGTACGTAGTCCCCGTCCTCCTCTATGGGAGGGCAGGGCGGGTGAGCGTAGGGGGTCGTACTGCCGTGCACACCCATAGGGGGCTGCATACTAATCACACGCAGCACCGATCCTTCCCGGGAGCTGCTTGGTACGGCCCCGCACGCAGCACAGAGCTTACGTGCCGGCCAATTACAGTGTGAATGAGGGCTAGAGCTGAATTCCAGGAAAACAGCTGAAAACATATATTGAGGTTCGGCTCAGCCCATCCAGATGTTGGATCGGCTGAGTCGAACTCCTTCTGCACTTCGGGTCAGCCGAACATGCTGAGCATGTTCGGCTGATCCGAAGCCACACGATGCAAGCCGATGTACGGCTGATTTCAGCCGTACCAGCCTGAAGTGAATAGCCGAACAGTGTCCGGCTCACTTCACTTCTGATCGGTCATTCACTCGGCTGCCCTCCTGTGAAGAGACCCCTATGTTACCTGTCACTAGACATGTAAGCTGCGGAAAAATTTGGTTCAGATATTTCAGTATTTTGGGATTTGGATCCGATATTCAATTCGGTCCGGGTTTCGGATTCAGACGAAATCTGAATTTTCGTTAGATTCGGATGAGTTTGCGAATATTCGTTGTGAATACCACAGAAAGCCATATACAGATATTAATACTAAAGCTCAATCTCCCAGACCCCAATGACCATCGGGATCTGAATTTTCCGAATTGAATTTGGGAGCTCCTAAAAGCCATTCGGGTCTGGGAGCCATATACATATAATACTAAAGCTGAGGCCCCCAGATCCAAAAGGCATTCGGGAACTCCCAAAAGCAATTCAGAAATTCGGATCCCCAATGCCATTGGGGTCTGGGAGCCTCAGCTTCAGTATTATATGTATATACTGTATAGGGCTCCCATGTTGCCGTAATGAAAATTTGTATTCAGACCCATTCGGGTGCATTAAACCGAAAAACACATCTGATTGGCCAGAAAAGTCACATGTCCCATTCAGTTTAGTTCTTGTATGAAATTCAGAGATGGAAATTCGGATTTGGACACATTCGGATGCATTGGGATTCAGAAATTCGGATGTGTCCGAGTGAGGAAAATTAATACGAATTTGGATTCAGAAGGAAAGAATCCCACGTGTCTACCTGCCAAATGATTTGTAATTCTGTCCATCCAGTCCTGCCATTTACATAGTTCTGGTAGGTCAGGAGACCTGATTGTTCTCTGCTGCTGTTAGGTAACCCTTACAGGTCTTGTCCCTCCCCCAGCCTGCGATTGGACAGTAAGAAACAGAAAGCTGAGTAGCTCATCTTATCTGTCACTCTGCTCTCTCTTTCTATCAGCATGTTCCTAGCACTGCAGCACAACTGATTGGCTCCTAGTGCTGCTTCTCCCTTCCACAGACTGAGCTCTGCTGTACATGGGGCTCAAATTCAGACACTTACACTGCTTGCGTTTACCAAACACATTGGATAAGGTATTGATGAATACAGAACGGCATTTGTTGTGACTTTTATATCTATATCTGGAGTTGATGTTTTTTGGCAGCTGATCAGATAATCATTTTCAGGCCTCTGATATAATTGCTTATTACAGGTTACATTATAATATCATTTGGAATTGCACTTGTTATAGGTTCCAGCCATTTCCACATCACCGTCGTCTGTCGGGAGAGCCGCGTGCAGCAGACTATGACAGCGAATCACATCGAGGTTTATATTAGTGAGATCCAACATGAGATCATTAATCCCTGCGCTGCTTTATTAAGTTTAATTTCCTTAGATTTTGCCTTCCCTGGTCCCCCCACTCTCCCTCCCCCATCATCAACATGATATTACAAATTTTTAATTAAAGGAGAAGTATGAGGTGAGCGCTTTTCACTCACCTCATAGTTCTAGCCGACCTGTGACAATGAGACTGTCACAGGTCGGCTCAGTAGATCGGGAGGTGAGCGAACACATACCAGGTTCACTCACCTCTCGATCCTGTCACGGCTCTCTGCCGTGACAGGGGAGGGGCTGGATTCCCCTCTCCCCGCTCCGATCCACCAGCGCTGACTGGCGGAACGGACGGGGGAGGAGGCGGGTACAGCTGACTCTGCCTCTAGATAGGCAGAGCCAGCTGTCAGTCACGCAGCTGGGTGGATCTCGACGTCGATGTCGGGATCCGCTCCGGCTGCGGCGTCTCAGTATATAGGGAGCTGTAGCTCGCGGTATACTGAGCTTTGGGTGACGGGAGGGCGCTAGTTTGTGTCCTCCCGTTACCCTAAGGAGAACTATGGGGAAAAACACTGACCCCCATAGTTCTCCTTTAAGACCTTGCATTTTTATTACATATCTTATTTTATACCCAGTGATGTGATCACTGGGTCTCTGCGCTTCTCTCGTGGCTGGTGGGAGGGGCCGGCAGGATGCTGTACATGGCTTCCTGAAAACATCACAGCGCCCTGCCTTAGTATTTCTTTCAAGAGCCCCCAGCCATGATGCAAGCAGTGGGCCGGCTCTTGGGAGGAGTTATGCAAATATAAAAATGCCTTGAGGGGTGGGTGTCAGTCTGGAGGAGTGGGCGTTCCTAGGCAGGATGTATTTGCACCACAGGTAACGCCCACATGCCATGCTCAGCCTCCATGATGGAAAGAGCTGAAATCCAATGAATGAAAGGGGCGGGGCCAAGCACAGTCAGGCTGGGGGGAGGAAAGTGCTAAATGATGCTGGGCATCCTCCAGGAAATGAGGCGGAGCTCTATCTGACTTGCTGCAGCTTCTAATGCACATTGTGAGAAGATCCCAGTGTGCAGAGACATCAGAGGAAGAGGAGACGCTACAACTGTGCAAGACTAAAGAGGAGGACGGAGGTCAGATAGAAGACTGAAGGGAAGGACGGAGGTCAGATAGAAGACTGAAGGGGAAGGACGGAGGTCAGATAGAAGACTGAAGGGGAGGACGGAGGTTGAGATTTGATACATTGTTTCTACATCTGCATTAAGCTCTCATTCCCACCAATGATGAGTCTCCCGGATGAGCGGCGCAGTGAATATCATGGGGGTGATAATCCGCGTACAGAACAATAACTTTGTGTTTCGGAGTCTCTCGGCGTTCCGCGGAAAGTTATTATTTCTGATTATAATGGAGACTTCAGAGGATTTTTTTTTCTACTTTATGACAATTTCTTCTCTTTTATTTATGACAATTATATTTGTTTTAGGCGGGATGAGTTCCGGCCGCGCTCGGCGACAGAAGAAGAAGACGACATTAAATGGAACATTTCGGAATCTACAAAAGGAAAAACAAAGAAAATAACATTCCGTGTGTTCCTTTGCGGAAGCCGAGGAGACCGAGCGGAAGATGAAAGCGCTCCAGACATCTTTATCTGCTTTGCTCTCCATAGAAGTATCATTGACCTTGGCGTTACGCGGCGGAGATGCGGAGGAGGGGTCATTTATGATCATTTATGAAAAGACCAATTAGCTTCTCATGTATGAAATGAAGGTGAAGGGCAGAGGGAACCTTAGGCGGGTTTTAGGTGATTAGGGCACTGGAAGGTACGATGGAGATTCTTCTGATCTTCCCTTCTGTGAATAGACAGAGGAAGTCCCCCGAAACATTGCTGGCCGTTCTGTCAGCAAATATGACTTCCTTGCATGAACCTTTATTGATGACAGCTCATGCTGAGATTGTGATCTGTGGTTTCAGGATTAGTTATAGGGTGGGTAGGCAACACAGCCAGACCAAGGTCAGGACAATTACATCAGCTGGTGCACTTATTGGCTTCTCCTTCTCAGGGGCATCATATGTGAATGGAGAAGCCCGGGATAATTCATACTTAAAGCCCCCGAAAAGGAGGAACCAATAAGCGCACCAGCTGATGTGATTACCTTGCCTTGTCCATTTATACATGATGCCCCTGAGAAGGAGGAGCCAATGAGTGCTCCAGCTGATGTGATTGCCCCGGCCTTGTCCATTCATACATGATGCCCCTGAGAAGGAGGAGACAATGAGTGCACCAGCTGATGTAATTACCCCTGCCTTGTCCATTCATACATGATTCCCCTGAGAAGGAGGAGCCAATGAGTGCACCAGCTGATGTAATTACCCCTGCCTTGTCCATTCATACATGATACACCTGGGAAGGAGGAGCTAATGAGTGCACCAGCTGATGTAATTACCCCTGCCTTGTCCATTCATACATGATGCACCTGGGAAGGAGGAGCTAATGAGTGCACCAGGTGATGTAATTGCCCTGCCTTGTCCATTCATACATGATACCCCTGAGAAGGAGGAGCCAATAAGCGATCCAGCTGATGTGATTGCCCTGCCTTGTCCATTTATACATGATGCCCCTGAGAAGGAGGAGACAATGAGTGCACCAGCTGATGTGATTACCCATGCCTTGTCCATTTATACATGATGCCCCTGAGAAGGAGGAGCCAATAAGCGATCCAGCTGATGTGATTGCCCGGCCTTATCCATTCATACATAATACCCCTGAGAAGGAGGAGACAATGAGTGCACCAGCTGATGTGATTACCCATG